TGTGGACAGAGATGACAGCATAGGATCCAGACATCCTATTTCTTGGTCCCACCTTGCCCCCCACCAAGGACACAACATCCCATCCACTAGTTATTAGAGGCAGAGGAATATACTTAACATTTGAGTTCATTCAGTCAAAATTTATTGAGCAGCAACTGTGTGCCCAACACTGGCAATACAGCAGTGAACAAGATGGACACGATCTCTGCCCTCATGAGCTTACAGTCTAGCAGCCAGCCAGCCAATTACATCCATAATTTTAACATTACTATTGTAATAAGCACTCTGAAATTTAACAGAAAGTCCTGACCTGCATCGAGAAATCAGAAAAGTCTCTGTGAGGAAGAAACACGTAGGATTAGCAAGGTGGGAGATGGAAGAGTGTTGTAAGCAGAGAGAACAGCCTGTGTGTTGGCTCTGAGGCAAGAAAACCTTTAGTGAAAAGAAAGCCAGTGAACAAAGAGGGGTGATGCAAGGTAGAGGCTGATATATGCAAGGTCTTTGGATTTAGCACTTGATTCCAAAAGCAACTAGAAGCCACTGAAGAATCTGAAGGAGGAAAGTTAGATGTTTAGGTTTGTTTTTCAGAGCTCACTCTGCTGTGTGTGGAGGACAGAAGAGGAAATGGGAGGACTGGTTAGGAAGTTATCGCAGCAGTCCAGACCAGAGGTGATGATAACAGCTTCGAGAAAAGATGGATTCCAGAGATGTTTAGGAGATAGAATCTACTTGGAGAGTGACTGGGTGTGTGAGGAAAGGGATGTGTTTCTGGCAAGAGGTACTAAAGTAGGAAACCCTGGAAGAGGGACGAGTTTGGGCAGCTCCCATAGGCACAGGTCCTGAGGCTGGGGTTACAGCAACAGCGTAGCTTTGGTTCTCAAATAGTTTAGGGTTTAATTGAGCAAACAAGATACACATAAAACCACTGCAGGTGGATACAGATGTCTTCACCTCTGTCCATGCCGTTCATAGTCAGCCCCTCAGCACACTCCTCTACAGCCTACCCAGTGTCTCATAGGGGGCCACCTTCTGCGAAGATGCACTAACATCTCCCTGCTTCTTTTTTTGCCTGCTACTGTCAAGAAATTCACCTGTGATTCTCATTCCCCTTCCCTCCTTAGGTCATAGGGGATCAAATCTGGCCACTGCCCTCCATGGTTGTTCTCTTTTGAACACCAGGAGTTTTCTGACTTAATTAGCTCCTCTGTTTTTTTTTTTTTTTTTTTTTTTTTTTTTTT